GTGTGATTTAGGATTAAAATTGACCAAGATTGCTCACAAAACATTTTTAAAATAAAAAGTAATTTACCAAAATGGTGTTAGATTAATCTAGCGCAATCAAATTCTAGTATCCTTGAATCTCTGGTTTGCAAAATTAAAATGTACTCACGCATTCCTAACCAAATTAGAGACATCTCCATTAAGGTAAGATATATTATTTCAAGTTGCAATTGGTATAGGCTTGGGAGTGTCCGTGCTAGGCGACAATATTGTCTCTTTAATGAGTTCGTGTTTGTGCCCGCCTAGTAATCCATTAATTTTTCTTTGATGTTTCACCTCCGGGAAGGTTACGACAGATATCCTGTCCCACCACAATATCAATAAACAACACTACCAGTAGGCTTAACGTATAGATTCAGTAGGTCATTCATTAGTCCGATAGTGGTCTTCTCTTTCGCAATGTTAAATGCAAAATTATGAACCAATGTTAGCAAAATAACACCCAATGCCTATCTATCCTGCAAATCGCAATCAACTTGCTTTATCAACTATGGCTTCTTCTCAAATAAGGGTAAGTGCATATTCCTCTTGTACAGACAATCTTCGATATGCATATTCTGGAAAGCAAAATCATTCACATCAAATATGTCGATTTTCACTTTTCCTTCTTTATCGTCATTTATTCACTTCAAGTGAACATAACATGGATATGATGTTACGAATAACAAGCAATTGAACAATAAAATAAACATAACAAGGAAATAAATCGAACATTTGATTACGTTGTTAGTCAATGTGACCTATTTTACGGGAAGAATAACACAATCCGCTATCGATCAAGCAAAACAATGGAAGTTCCAACCATACTCAAGAACTCATACACTCACGGTATTTTTCATATGCCAATTACATCTAATGACTCAAGCAATGTTTAACCCTTAAAATTCCCTGTGAAATAATCTCGCAAAGAATTACATAAAATCTTACCCATAAAATTTAATCGACTTCAAGACTCTTGCATTGCTTCAAGGTGTTGTTTACGAAGAAGCCGCCACTGACATCTGCACACAAGGCACAAAGGCCGACTCCGCAACCTTCATTATGTGACGAAAAAAGGAATTATTTATATATGAAACATGCAAATACCCTTGCTTAAGGTCAAACCCAAATTTCCTAGTTTAAGTCCTCTTCTCACGCTCAAAGACGTGGAGTAGTTTGGCCGACTTCAAGGTGGAAAACGAAATTCCGTTTACAGCACGTTCAGCTTAACAAGTCATCCACAAGTCCAAGTCCAATATGGACTTTTCAAATTAAGGACTCCACACTTTATTTATTGGACTTTTCAAATTAGGGACTCCACACTTTATTTTCATTGCAATATGGGCAAGACCTGTAGACATATTCAATACGGATTGTAATTCGCTCAACGGGCTTAAACTTGATACATATTTTCAATACTAAGTTTCTTTGCTGTGAGGTAAATCATGTACACGGAAGATTGTGTATAATAAAGATACATATGTGTGTGTGGTTTTATGGGATAGAGGAATACAAGTTCTTCCTTGTCTAAAGAAATAGTTAATTGAAACGACTGGAGTTTCACTTAATTCTCATGGTTTTCTCACAGTACTTTCCATGATATACGATGAGATATATTGGTTTGTACGTAATTGGCACCACTTGTTTTTCTTGTCACATTTATGAGAGATCGAAGTGGTAAACCTCAACTCCAGATATATTCCTTTCTTCGCCTGCCTAATCCACTAGAATGTCATGGTTGGTGGTTGATTATGATGGAAAGGCAAGCAACTTCACAAGGATCCTTCCATTCATATTTCCTCATTTGTCTACCCAAGAGTCAAAGACCCCTCTCTTTTCTCTCTAAAACCTTTGACTGGAGACGAATAAAGACCTCTCTCTCTGTCTAAAACCTTTGAATGGAGACGAATGAAGACCTCTCTCTCTCTCTCTCTCTCTCTCTCTCTCCTGGTCTACATCAATGACTTTTCTTTCCCAGGTCTCCGCTTGAGATTGACGGAAAAATAGTCCCAAGTCGCTCGACACTATTCAGCTTTGGAGGAACGCAGGACAGCGTAATTGACTTGCTTCGATGACCTGACCATTAATAAGAGATGGCCTATCTCTTATTTGGTAAAATCTCGAATGGGACGAGGCAAATTACAAAGTCGAGATTCAATTAAGAGAAAAAGAAAATTTATGAATAGACAAAGGTGCTCACCATATCAATCAAAGCCATTGAACAGCAGTCCGCTAGAGATCGGACCATTATGTCATGACCGCATGAGTTCGATGATCACCGTGTGGTGATCGCCCGATGCTCGATGCCCGATAAGGAGAACAAGGTGAGGAAGGAAACACGTGACCACCACCTGAGCTCACACAAAAGAGACTTGACCGTTGTGATGATCTTAGGCAGTGATCGCCCAAGCATGCAATGCAGGTCGGTAACCACTCTCGTGGTGGTCAATTGAGGCCAACCTTCACATATCTAAAGTAAAAGAACCCTAGATCGTGCATATGAGAGATCGTGGTTACCATTGAATGTTGGTTGCCGGAGGACACAACTACCATCATGGCAATTGCCTGTGAGAAAAATCTATAAGTACATTTGGTGCATGAAGTTTGCATCCATCACGAGTAAATGGAACTTCATGCTTCAAGAGCATTTAAAAATTCTTATTCTACTTGAAGATAAGAAAGTTAAATTGAATCTTATAGAGCATTTTCTTATTGAGATGACCTGAAATTAAATGCGCAATCTTTGCTCTAATAACTTTTATTATTTGTTTGACTACTTTTATTATTTGAGTTCGGGGCCGAATATATTTTTTCATGATAACAGTTCTCGTTTCTCTTTTTTGAGCTTGTTTAGAATATTTCCACCTTTCTTTCAATAAAATGTTTGCATTAATTGAAGACTTGATATTACGAAAAATCACAAACTAGTACACTTGTGACAAATTTACTCTAAACTAATTTTTTGATTACTAAAAACCTCAAACTAGTACGTATGTGATAAATTTACTTCAAACTATTTTTTTGATCACCAAAAACCCCAAATGAGTATACTTGTGACAAATTTGCCCTCCATTAAATTATATTAATACCAAGAAAAATCACAGACTGGCAAACCCGTGACAAACGGAGGGGTAAAACCTCAAGCTGGTACATCTATAAGCTGTCACGTTTCATCCAACTTAGCAATTTGATGGTAAAATTTAACGGAAACTAACGGATGGTAAATTTGTCACATGTTTACCAATTTAGGATTTTTCGTAGTATTAACCCTCTAGCAGATGTGAGGGCAAATTTTCCGTTTCAGTTAGTCAAAACCTCAGTGTATCTGTAAACTTTTACATGTCATCCAACTCAGCAATTTGACGATAAAATTTAATGAAAATTAACGGAGGGTAAAATTGTCACATGTGTACTAGTTTAGGATTTTTCGTAGTATTAACCCTCTAACAGATGTGGGGGCAAATTTTCCGTTTCGGTTAGTCAAAACCTCTGTGTACAAATTCATTTTCATTTACAAAATTGATTTAGAATTTTCAAAATAGTGATTTACATAGTTTAGTTTCTAAGGGTGTTTCGTTTGATTAACAAACAAAGTATATTTAATGCCATATAAAAGTATGGCACCTTACTTTATAAACCAATGTTGTGAATCATTTCATTACCCTATGCAGTTATTTGATGGAAACTTTAAAGCTATAAGCATCACCAATATCACTTTTCTCCTCATCCCCTTATTTTCTTCGCTCATTTTAGCATTGAGGTAATATTTGTGCTAGCTTTCGCACACATTCCTATATTGGCTTGATGCATTTTGGATTTTATCCTTAGAGAGCTTCCAACAAGACTTGAACTTAAAACCACAATCTTGACATCCAAGCCAATACTTTATTGGTTCCCCTTTCTCTCTCTCTCTCTCTCTCTACAACGAGCAAGTAATGAACGCATTTAGAGTATGTGAGCCCACTCCATCTTGATCATTAAATCATGGAGGTTCCACATGGAACTCATAACATCTAATTGTTTTTTTTTATCTAATTGTTGGTTGCTTATAAAACAAACAAAATAGTGCTTTTCCTTATCCCACATAGGAAAGTTAGGATTGTGTTGGCCACTATATAAGTGTGGATGTCTTCTAACTTATTCAAATTAAGATGATGGGCTAAATGGGCTTGATCCTACAACACCAGCGTACGAATACTCATCGTTTACGTGACTGTGCGCAATAGAGTGTCAGTTAACTTTTTTTTATTAATTAATCATCTTTGAAAGGTTGTATTTATTCAATCGTTATTTTTCAGAATTTATTAAAATTCGAAATAAAAAAAATAAAAAATTATTTTTATTTTATTATTATAAGACTAAAATATATATTCATATTTTTTAGTCTTTTTTCACTTACTTTTTGGTACTTTTTCTTAAAAATCAAGCAACAATCTTTTCCAATTATTTCCCTTTGAGAGATTCTGGAGATATACCAGAATTGTTATATGATATTCGTATTTAAGACTTTGTTGTATCTTGAAGGATTTTGCCAGTAACCATTAGCAACGTTGTGGGGCAAATAATTCTTTAAAGAAAGTGTTATCACGCTTCAAAGTCTGATTTATTTTCCTCTTCTTCTGATTCACATGGATTTTTTTCCAATAGTTATGGCTGAGATGAAGTTGGCGTACATGCTCCTCCAAGTATATACTTAGGAATTTTCCTCTACAACGACAACACTGGCTTACATCTATTACTTTTTTTCTTCCAGTCTCCACATTACTCAATGACCTCGTACGAAGGCCAATGCTGTCTTCCATCCACACCGTCCATCTTTAACATTATGGAAAATCTCAAACCGGTTGGTCTTGACCTGTCAAAAATCTCTTTTGACCTTCCCGAAGAAACAAAAAGTAAAAGACTATATAGTAATTTTTTTTTATGATTTAAGATATCAATTTTTATATGTTTTAAAACTTTTAAATATGTGCCCGTGCTGCAAGCTCAATCTAATCATCAAGCTAGCTAAGCATGAATTCTTGCTTCACCATCTCCCTCTGTCTCTGCTTCTTCTGCTTCATCAAAATTTCGAGTACTGAAGCTGCACCCGAATATCTGTATCATGATTGCCCAAACACCACCCTCTTCACTCCCAACTCCACCTACCAATCCAATCTCCACACCCTCCTCTCTTCTCTCTCGTCCGCCGCCACCAACAGTACCAATGGCTTCGCTAATGCCACCACTGGCCAAAACCCTCCCGACTGGGCCTATGGGCTCTTCCTCTGCCGCGGTGACCTCGACGCCACCACGTGCAGCGAATGCGTGGCCACTGGGAAACAGGATATCCTCCGAAGATGCCCCAACCAGCAAGTCTCCGTAATCTGGTACACTGAGTGCATGTTGCGGTACTCGAGCAAGTCCATCTTCTCGGTCATGGAGCTAGAGCCGTCTGCCATTTTGTACAACACTGGGAAAGTCACCGACTCAACCCGGTTCATGCATCTCCTAGGAGAATCCCTGACCAACGCCACCGCTAGGGCTTCAGTTGGTGGGCCGGGGAAGAAGGTCGCGGTGGTGGAAGTGAACTTCACGAGCTTTCAGAAGCTGTATGCCCTCGTGCAGTGCACGCCAGACTTGTCGGCGTCAGACTGTAGCACGTGCCTCCAGTTCGGAATCGGTAACGTGGCTCCCGGGAAGCAAGGCGGGAGGGTCCTCACTCCGAGCTGCAATGTGAGGTACGAGATCTACCCCTTTTATAACACCTCGGCCCTGCCGGCGCCGGCACCTCCACCTCCCGCTCCGGTGACGGGACCTAAAGGTACGTGTGTCTCTTTATTTCTAGCAGGATTACTTTTCGAGTTAACGTATGTTTTTTTGTCCCAATTCTTTTCACTTTATTTTGAATTAAGATCTTGATTAAGGATGTATCAATGTTATATCTCCACTAAGTTAGCCATCACAGAAGTTAAATAATTTATCTTCAAAGAAAAAGACTTGATTGGTTGATTGAAGTCATAAGTTCATATTCGCATAAGATATTTCTGGTCGTAGTGCGTGTTTGTTGGTCTGGGCTTTTAGTCTTTAATGCTAGAAAGTCATGATGAGGTACATTTTAGGTGAAAACTTTTTCTTAAGTGGATAAGTTATCTCAATTTCTCGTCCCAATTGAACATGGTGGGTTCTACATCCACTTATGACATTAGATTATTTACATAACGATTGATTAAATCGCTTTTAATCAATTAATGGTTAATCCCCTATAAACAATCGTTGCACTCAAATGGGAATCAGGAAAAGAATGTATTTTGTGAGAAGGACAGATTATGGATTACAGCTTAATTTCTTCTGGACATTTTCTCTTTAAGCGCACTCTTTTTGCTTTTGGTTGCGTTCGGTTGAACTTTTGAGGAAGGCCTTTGAGAAAATGCAAGGATTTTAAGTTAAATGAGTTTTCCGAAATGCAAATTGTGTTTGTTAAATTGTAATTTAAAATTTCATTGTAAAGCAACTTTGGGTAAAATAGTGTTTGGAAAAATTATTTTTGCAGAGGACTTTTCTTATTTTTTTATTAAAAAAATCTCAAACTCTTCGCCAGAGCCAGCGAATGGCTAAGGTCGCCGGGCGACCTAGATTTGGCACCGGCGGCCGTTGTCTTAGGTTGCACGACCTCAGGCGGCCCTTGATCGCGCGACCCCAAGCGACTGTTGCTTGGGTCATGCGACCTCATTGGTATGTCGCCAACTGCCCTCACGTAAAAAAGATGAATAGCTATAACGAGGGCAAAATCGGAAAATTGAAAAACCAAAAAATTGGTTAGGATAGTTTTGGAAAGAAAAAAAATTTACCAACGTAGGTACAAGCATGTCCAGAAAGCTAAAAGCCCAAGGCACCCAAGACGTGGGTTGGGCTTTTAGCCTTCCCAAGGCTCACTTTCCCTCTACGACCATTTGAAATTTTTTTCCCAACACCCAAAATTTGGCTCAAGGGGCTTGGACGCCCAAAGCCTCTTGAGAAAGCCTTTCCCAAATGGAGCCTTTCTCTATTTTTCACATTTGCTATGGCCTATGGTAGCAATTCCAGTTTCTAAAATCTAAAACAGTCATAAACACTTAAAACTGATGCTATTAAGATATGGTTGCACATATGCAGGCAAAAGCAATAAATCTACTGTGATAATCGTCGCTGTCACCATTGCTGTTGGCGTTGGCGTGGTGCTTCTCTTCCTCGCTTGGTGTTTCAGGCGAAGGAAAGCGACCAAGACATATGAAGGCGCCCAAGGAGATCAAAGCGGTATGAAATATGTACCTGTGCCATATACTTAGATAGAATGATGAAACCGTGTACGTGGGACGTACAGTTCTATGCTTTTAGTGAAATGACCATCTCGTGTGTGTTTCGTTGTGTAGGCGTAAATGCCAAGTCCTTGCAGTATGATTTAGCCACCATACAAGCTGCCACAAACAATTTCTCTCATCAAAACAAGTTGGGTGGGGGTGGATTCGGTGAAGTTTTCCAGGTATGGTTCGTTAGAAACTAGATAGAGAATGGTTTAGATAATTATCTTCGATCGGTAAATTTTGAGAAGTTGTGATGAGAAGCTGTTCATGTGTACGTAAACATAAAAAATACTAACCTTTCAGGGTAGGCTTCCTAATGGACAACGAATAGCTGTGAAGAGACTATCTCAAAGCTCAAGACAACATGCCGAAGAATTCAAGAGGGAAGTCATACTGGTAGCAGAACTTCAACATCGAAACCTCGTTCGGCTGCTTGGGTTCTGCTTGGAGGGTGAAGAAAAACTACTTGTCTATGAGTTTGTGCCAAACAAAAATCTCAACTACTTTTTATTTGGTATGTCGTGTTTCAATATATTCGCCTCAAATTATGTCAAATGTTGCACTAGCTTTTCAAACCTAAAATTAGTTCCTTGCATGAAATCTATTCAAGAGGATTTCTTTAACAGAAAATACCTATATTTGATTGTGCATACGTGCAGATCCTCAAAAGAGCAGACAATTGGATTGGTCAAGACGCTACAAAATAATATGTGGGATTACTCGAGGAATGCTCTATTTACATGAGGGCTCTCAACTTAGGATCATTCATCGGGATCTAAAATCAAGCAATATCTTGTTGGATAGTGAAATGAACCCAAAGATTTCAGATTTCAGCATGGCAAGGATTTTTGGAGTTGATCAAACACATGCAAACACCAATAAAATTGTTGGGACTTGGTAAGCGTTTTTATGCTTTGTTCTCTGCTTTTATGCTTAGGTATACTTGTATTGCTTATGTATTACAATTTGCAGTGGTTACATGTCACCTGAGTATGCAATGCATGGGCAGTTCTCTGTGAAGTCTGATGTCTATAGTTTCGGTGTCCTACTTCTAGAGCTCATTAGCGGTAAGAAGAATAGCTTCTTCTACCAATTAAACGGGGCTGAAGACCTTGCTAGCTATGTAAGTTGCACAAATTGACCCTTTAACAAATATGAAAATTATTAAACTAAGCAAATTTGATGTACAAAGAGTTTTTTCTATCAACTGGTTTTAGGTTTGGAAGAATTGGAGAGATGGTACGCCATTGGAAGTGTTAGATCCGGCCATTGGAGACTCATATCCAAGGAATGAAGTTCTTAGATGCCTCCATATTGGTTTACTTTGTGTTCAAGAAGGTCCATTTGATAGACCGTCAATGGCAAACATAGTCGTGATGTTGAGCAACCACTCTTTTACTCTTGCACTGCCCCAACAACCAGCCTTCTTCCTCCGGAGCAGGACCAAGAGACCAATAAATGAGCTCGAATCGGACCAATCCACCAGTAGGTCTATGGCCTTGTCGACCGAAGCGATATCAATCACCGAAGTTTACCCCTTGTCGACAGTGATGTGAGTGGAAGTCTTTCTTCATATAGTCTCACAGAGACCTTGATCAAATGATCCTTGGCATTCCACTGAGATCAATAATGAACAATGATCATACACCTATGTCCATTACATCTAAAAGTACAAAGTGTCTTGTCTTTGAGGCTAATCATGATCATGTTTTGATCCACTAGACATGGAGGGTTGTTGATATTTAATATAAGTACATGTGGTTTTATCGGAGAGAGGAGTACAAGTTCTTCCTTGTCTAAAGAAATAACTATTTCACGACCAAAAACAAAAGAAATAACTATTTTAAAAGGACTACAGTTGCACTTAATTGTCCTGATTTTCTTACAGTACTTTACATGATATCTGATAACATATATCCATTCGTACATTACCCATACTTACTAGAAATTGGGGTCATAATGCCTACTTACTAGAAATTGGGGTCATAATCCTCACCTCTAGATATTTTCTTTGCATCACCTGCCTCTTAACTCGATAATAGTGGTGGGTGGTTGACTACAATGAAAAGGATATAACAACATCAAGAGTACCTTAACTTTCGTACGATAATAACTTCAGTGTCATAATTTTTTTCTGCTAACTTAAGTGCCACATCGGTATAAAATCGATTATTTGAGTGACATTTCAAACAAAACGTCCTACCAAGATTTTTTGTTTTTCTTTAAATTGATTTTTTTTTTATTTTTTATTTTTTATTTTCTTTATTTTTTTATTTCTGTGCGTCGGCCGCAAAAGCCTCGCCCTCAACTGGTGGGGTCGCAAAGGCCCTGGGTGAGGCCATTGCCAACTGCGGGCAAGGGCCTTCATGGCGAGGCCGTAATGGCCTCTCCTAGGGCCATGGCGGCTCCACTGGCAGCAGGCGAGGGTGCGAAGGTCCTTGCTGGGCGAGGCCACCTCACCTGTGGCTGATGGGGCCACGAAAGCCATTGCTAGCCAAGTTTGAGGGCACGAAGGACTTCGCCAGATCTTGGCAAGGTCGGGGGCAAATTTTTCAACGAGACAAATTATCAATGGCACTTAAGTCATTGATTTTTTAAATTTGTGTCACTTAAGTAATCAATTTTTCAAATTTGTGGCACTTAAATGAGAAAAAAAAAATTATAAAAAATTGTCTACGTTGACGCCGGCAATGCCACATAAGACAACCAGCGTCCACATTGGATTTTCCGGTGAGACAAATCGTCGATGGCACTTAAGTGATCCATTTTTCAATTTGAGGCACTTAAATGAATGAAAAAAAAAAAGGTTACGGCCCTTAAGTGAGCGTCGTACGAAAGATATAACATTCATGCGGTTCTTCTCCTTGATGGAAAGGCAAGCAACTTCACACGGATATTTCCTCATATGTCTACACAAGAATAACCTCTCTCTCTCTCTTCCTGATCTATACACGGCCACAAGTTCACCGATACCAGCCCCACTTCAGCCAACTCCACAACTAATTAGCTCTTTCCACCGCCATCATCTCATATGTCTCTCTCTATCCGAGATCTTAGATATGGCCTCCAAGGAGTGGAGCTAGTCGATGAGCTCGTCTATGGACATCTCAAGAAGCTTGAGACGTACTTCTGGTGTCGGAGGTAATGACTTGCTTGCCTTTACTATTTTTACAAAGCAAGGCAAGTATCTCTGAGTCATAACGCATTATAACCTAGATCTAAAGCGAAACATAACCTTAGTACCTAAAAGATTAATGCACTAAAACAATCACTTAATCTCACAACATCCCATAAAATCTACACCCAAAAAGATCACAACCTAAGCTATAATACCAACAGATGTCACACCCCAAAACCAACAAGAATGGGGGATGACACAGCCGCCCTTCCACCCGAAGGACGCAATCTCAAAAAACAACAAACAACCTGTTATCAAAATATATACATTCCATCCATATATATCAAATAAACCAACATGTTAGTTACAACATCAAAGTTTTTATAATCCACCAAAAAGAAAATGTACAACTTAAAATTCAGCCAACCTAGCAAACTAGCAACAACCATATACGCAACTCTCTTAAACCATACCCAAAATCCAGCTCCAAAAAGTCCTCACAATAGCGCTCTCGTACTATCGGCCACTAGCCAAGGAACCTAAAAAACACGAAAGATGAATGAAATGAGCAACCACAGCCTAGTGAATAGTGCGTATCTCTTCTAAGCAGATCGATCATTCACTATGCACTTTACAAAACAATATTGAAACTCACTTATCTCAATTCTAGTATATAATACATGTACAAGATAATAATGAGTTATATTGCTTTAACATAACCATATACATATAAGACAACATTCGTTAAATCAATAATATCATAACAAACATCAATTGTCTAGTCCATTAAGTATCAATGGTCTATTCAATTGATCAATCTCATACCACACATTAATGGTCTATTCCATTAATCCATCTATTATTAAATCACATGTCAATGGTCCATTCTATTAACCCATCTATTGCTCAATATCAAACCATGATCACAACACTACACCTGGTGACAAAGCGACCAAAATTCCCCATTTGGCAAGTTCTCCACTTATTATCAATCAGTGGCTCGGCCCCAGAAAAATATCCTAAAACCAATAAGCATACCCAGAACTTCCTATCCGGGTTCGCAGTCATATTGAGTATCAAACAATCATCCTCCAGTACTAGAAATCCAATCCAAAATCAATCTCGTAAACCATAACACATTTTATAATCTGAAACAAATAACATTTTTGCAACACATCTCATCCATTAGAAATACCTTTCTCAAAGCAATTCTCATTACATTCTAATACATATACATAAATTTCTACACTACCTTGCATAATACGTTTTCTAAAACATTCGTAAATAACCAAGGATTAGTAAATGCTCAATCCGACTTTTTATGCAACAAAAATGTAATTTCTTAATTCATGCTATATATAATCCATATTGCTTCCAAAATATGAATTTACAAACTTGAAGAACAGATAGCATCACTTACTTAGTAATGCCGAAAAATTAAATAACGATGCTCGCTCAAACCGATGATCTCACAATCCTATTAATTAAACAAGAATTAACATCAAAATCAATTAAAACATTACCTCAACTACAAAATGGCTATAATAAGCTTAATTGCTAGCAAAACGACTCCCATATGCTAATAAAACTCTCAACCAAAGTGGAATTCAAAGCTGTCCACAACACTGAGCTTAATTGCGAAACCCTAAAATTCTCATTCCGACTAAACCCTTGCCTTAAATCAACTCCCATCAAACCCCGTAGCTCCAAAACGCCATAAGCCACAATTTCCATGAAATCTCATCAACATCTCAAAAATTAGACTTCGGGGCTTGAATTTCACAAAACTTTGAAGCTAAGCGTTAATTTTGAAAAATTCTCCGATTGGATATACGAAGGGTTCAAACACTTACCAGGCGTTGCCAATCGAAGTGAATCCAGCTTGGTGCTGACCCCTTGATGTGAACACGAAGCCCCTTTTTCCCTTTGTCTCTTTCTTCTTCTTCTTCTTCTTTCTTTTTGTTTCTTTTCCTTCTCTTTCTCCCTTTCTCACGCGAGCTCTCAGTCCCTTTATTTGAGCTGAGGCATCCAATTTTGTGCTCTGTTGACCAGGACAACATTTTCTTCTTTTTTTCGTGCCTGCCACTTTTTGACTTGTTAAAAAAAATCCAAATATTACAGCTACGACCAATACAATTCATTTTACTTATTATTCTCGTCTTGCATGTAGGACTATATTAGAAATTATCAAAAAAGTTTAGGACTAAATTGGATAAATTATGAAGCTTAGAATTGAATTGATAGCTGTGCGATGAGTTTAGAACTGATTGGTAATTTTGTCTAAGCATAGCAATCAATTTTTTCATATCTCACAGTGGATAGCAGTCTAATAACATTAATGAATTTCCATTGTTTTTGCGCCTAGAATGAAGACCCCCCCTCTCTCTCTCTCTCTCTCTCTCATATCCAGTTACGTCTACATCCTTACTTTTCCTTCCCAAGTCTCCGCCTGAGGTTGGGGACAAAATAGTCCAAGTTACTCGAACATATTTTATAATTAGCAATTTTGATTTCTCTTTTTAAAGTGTTGTTTGGAACATTTCCACTTTTTTTCAATGAGATATTTGCACCATTTTAAAGGTACGATGGCAGATGTGATGACATATTTTCCATTTCTTCTAATCAAAACCTCAACTATATATTGATGTTCGATGTACGATCGCATTGATTTACAAAATTGATTAAGAATTTTCGATATAATGATTTTATACTTTAGTTTCTAAGGGTATTTCATTTGATTGATAAACAAAGTATATTCCCTATAAAAGTATGCCACCTTACATTATAAACTAATGTTATGGATAATTTCATTATCATGTGCAGTTATTCGGTGCAAAATTCAAAACTGTCAGCATCACCAGTAGCACTTTCCACCTCTTCCCCTCTTTTTTCCCCCTATTTTAGCATTAAGATATTGTATGCGAAAACTTCCGCACATCTTAATTGGTCCACCTTCCCAAGTGACTTAAGGGCACACTCTCCTTTATCATCTTGGTGCATTGCAGATCTTACCCTTGGAAAGCTTCTAACAAGACTTGAACTCGAAATCACAAAAAAAGATAAGCAGATTCTCTTGACTTTTGAACCAATGTTTAATCTTTCTCCTTTCTTTCTCTCTCTACAACGAGCAAGTCTTTGACGCATTTGGAGCATGTGAGTCCCCATTCTATCTCCATCATTAGGTCATGTACATCTCATGGGGAACTCACAACATTAATAGCCAAGATAAAGGGGGCCGACATAATTCTAGTTATGTACAAGAAACTTTCTCGACAACAATGTCACTGGCATACATATGTTGACCCTTTCTAATTGCAGTCTCCACATTGGAGCCAAAAAAAAAAAATGCAACTCACGTAATTGACTTCAGTCGATGACCTCGTACGAGGCCAGATCTGTCTTCCATCCTCGCCGTTCATTTTATTCCTCTGTCCACCTGAATATTGATGACCTAACGAACACCAACTCCTGTCGCTTTAACATTGTGGACTGGATTTATAATGTTTTTTGACTTTAGCGAGGATCTCACACCGGTTCATCTTCACTTGTCAAAAATCTCTTTTGACCTTGTCGAAGAAGCGAAACTATATCGTAATTTTTATATGTTTTGAAACTTTTATATATTGTCACGTGGAATTAAATTTCTAATTTTAAATGTTCAAAACTTGATCCTCGAATTTTTATTTGCAATGATGCGCCCTTTATTTCACTCTCTGATTTGGAGAGCAGACCATGCTCTTCTTCTTCCTATCCGTGCCCGTGCTGCAAGCTCAATCTATTCATCAAGCTAGCTAATCATGAATTCTTGCTCCACCCTCTCCCTCTCTCTCTCTCTCTCTCCTTCTTCTTCTTCTTCATCACAATTTTGAGTAATGAAGCTGCACCCGAATGTCTGTATCATGATTGCCCAAACACCACCCTCTTCACTCCAAATTCCACCTACCAATCCAACCTTGACGCACTCCACTCTTCCCTCTCCTCCACCGCCACCAACAGTACTGATGGCTTTGCCAATGCCACCGCCGGCCAAAACCCTCCCAACCAGGCCTACGGGCTCTTCCTCTGCCGTGGCGACCTTGACACCGCCACGTGCAGCGACTGCATGGCCACTGGAAAACAGGAAATCCTCCAAAGATGCCCGAACCAGCGAGTATCCATAATCTGGTATGACCAGTGCATGTTGCGGTACTCGAGCGAGTCCATCTTCTCTGCCATGGAGCAATCACCGAATCAGATTTTGTGCAACAGTGGGAACGTCACAGATAAAACCCGGTTCATGCAGCTCTTGGGAGAAACCCTGACCAACCTCACTACGAGGGCTTCAGCTGGCGGGTCAATGATGAAGGTCGCTGCAGCGGAGGTGAACTTTACGAGCTTGCAGAAGCTGTATGCACTCGTGCAGTGCACGCCGGACTTGACCGTGTCAGACTGCAGCACGTGCCTCCAGTTCGGGATCGGTAATGTGGTTCAGGGGAAGCAAGGCGGGAGGGTGCTCACTCCGAGCTGCAACGTGAGGTACGAGGTCTACCCCTTTTATAACACCTCGGCCTTGCCAGTGCCGGCGGAAGAAATTACCCAAAAAGTCCTAAACCTTTTGCAGTTGTGCCAATTCAGTCCTAAACTTTTTTTTTGTCAATTCAGTACTAAATATTTTGTAATTGTGCAATTCAGTCCATCCGTCCACTTTTGGACGGCCGGCGCTGACGTGGACGCCGGCCGGCGCCGGCTCTCCGGCCGACACTGACGTGACAATTTTTTAATATTTTTTTGGATTTTTTTTACTTTTTTCTCTCTTTTTTTTCCTATCTTCTAGCCGGTCGCCGGACCGGCGACCGGCCAGAGTCTGAGGCCGGCGAGGGCGAACCTCGCTCGCCGTCGCCGGGCGAGGTCGAGCGACCTCGCCATGGTCGCCGCTCAACCTCGCTGTCGCCCAGATCTGTGGCGACGGCGAGGTCGAGCAGCCCTGGCGAGGCCACTCGCCCTCGCCAGTGCCGACGAGGGCCAGCCTCAAAAATAAAAATATTTATTAAAAAATTACCATGTCATCGTCGGCTGGAGGGCCGGCGCCGGCCGGCCAAAAGTGGCCGGATGGACTGAATTGACACAATTACGAAAGGTTTAGGACTGAATTGACAAAAAAAAAGTTTATGACTGAATTTGCACAATTGCAAAAGGTTTAGAACTTTTTGGGTAATTTCCCTGTGCCGGCGCTTCCACCTCCACATCCTGCTCCCGCTCTGGTGGACCTAAAAGTACGTATGTGTTTGTATTGCTTGTCTTCCTCCTTCCCAACTCTTTCTTTCTAGCAGGATTACTTTTCGAGTTAACCTATGTTTTTTTCCTAACTCTTTTCGCTTTATTTTGAATCAAGATTTAGGTACCTGTCCACCAAATTAGTCATAGATCATCAACCATCATAAGCTATACAATTTTTCTTCAAAGAAAAAAAGAGGTAATTGTTTATTGAAGTCAGTAAGGTGATATTTGAGGAGCGCATAAAAAATTTCTGGACTTAGTGCGTTTGATGGTCCCGGGCTTTTAGGCTGCGAAAGATAATCATTCTATTTCTCTATTTTTGTTCCAAAAATAGGTTTGGAATAGAAATCCGTTTGGTAAGGCAATTTCATTTTCTATTTCTGGAACAAATTTTTTAAACAAAAATAGGATTGGAATAGAAATCAGAAGTAAATTTTTTTTGCTTTTCTATTTCTGAAACAGAAATGAAGTTAAAATTCTTCTCATCGCTCGCTCTCGCTATTAATCGGTTGCCCACCCGCCGCCCATTGCCACTCCCTTGCCGCCGCCGCCCGTCACCACCCGCCGCCGCTGCCAGCCTCCGGCCGCCGCCCACCTCCCACCACCGCCTTCTGTTGGCCGCTATCCGCCGTCCACCGGCCACCATCTCCTGCCACCAACCGCCCTCCTCCCCCCACCAGCCACCGTCTCCCACCGCCGCCCGCCCTCTTCCCGCCGCCCACATCCCACCGCCAGTCGCCGTTGGCCGCTGCCCGCTATCCACCGGCCACCGTCTCCCGCCGTCGTTGGCCGCCGCCCGCCGTCTACTAGCCACCGATCCCGCCTCCGGCCACCCTCCTCTTGCCGCCGCCTCCCCCCACCGTCCGTTGCTCGCCATTCGCCGCTACTGTCTGCCGCCCGCCGTCCACTCATCGGCCACCCAAGAGGAGGAAATTTTGTGCTATTATCAAACAAATTTCTGTTTCTGGAACAGAAATTTTGTATCATTATCAAACGTATTTTTTTGCTCAAAAACTCTTCTAGGAACAGAAATAGAAAAATCAATTTCTGGCAAGAAATTGATTTTTCAAACAGAATGGTTGTCATTCGCAACCTTAGCCTTTAGTGCTTCATAAGTCTTGATAAGGTACATTTTAGGTGAAAAGTTGTTCTTAGGTGGAGCAATTATCTCAATCACTCATACCAGTTGAATATGGTAGGTTCTACTTCAACTTATGAGATTAGATTATTTACATAACAATTGGTTAAAGGTGGCTTTTAAGCAATTAATGGTTAATCCCCTATAAACAATCGGTGCACTCACGTGGGAATTAGGAAAATAATGGATTTTGTTGGATGGACAGATTATGGATTACAGCTTTCTTCTGGACATTTGCTCTTTAAGCGGACTCATTTTATTTTTCTTGATTTTTCCAATTTGCTCTGGCCTTTGGTAGCAATTCCATTTTCTAAAATCTCATGCTGTCATAAACACATAAAATGATGCTATTATGATATGGTTGCACGTATGGCAAAAGCAATAAATCTACTGTGATAATCGTCGCTGTCGCCGGTCCTATTGGCGTAGGCATGGTGCTTCTCTTCCTCACTTCTTGTTTCAGGCGTAGGAAAGCGACAAAGACTTGTGAAGTTGTCCTACGAGATCAAAGCGGTACGAAGTATGTACCGTGCCGTATAGTTGGATAGAATGATGAAACCATATTTGCAGGATGTATTGTTATACGCTTTGGGTGAAATGACCATCTCGTGTTGTTTCGTTGTGTAGGCATACATGAAATTACAAATGCCGAGTCTTTGCAGTACGATTTGGCCACCATACAAGCCGCCACAGACAATTTCTCGCATCAAAACAAGTTGGGTGAGGGCAGATTTGGTAAAGCTTTTCAGGTATGAAAAGTCAGAAATTAGATAGGGAATGGTTTAAAAAATGATCATCGATTTGATAACTTTGAAAAGTAGTGATCAGAAGTCATTCGTGTGTACTTAACCTTTCAGGGTACGCTTCCTAATGGACAACTAATAGCCGTGAAGAGACTATCTCGAAGCTCAAGACAAGGTGCTGAAGAATTTAAGAACGAAATGATACTGGTAGCGAAACTTCAGCATCGAAACCTCGTTCGGCTGCTCGGGTTTTGCTTGGAGGGTGAAGAAAAACTGTTTGTTTATGAGTTTGTGCCAAACAAAAGTCTCGACTACTTTTTATTTGGTATATCGTGTTATATATATTCCAAAGCTATTGCTTTCCATGTTGAGGCAAATACGTGATTAGCCTCAAATTATGGTGAATGTTTCGCTAGCTTTTGGAACCTAACGTTAGTTCCTTGCATAAAATCTACTCAAGAGGATTTATTAACTGAAATTACCTGCATATCGATTGTCCATACATGTAGATCCTAAAAAGAGTAGGCAATTAGATTGGCCAATACGTTACAAAATTGTATTTGGGATTGCTCGAGGAATGCTCTATTTACACGAGGATTCTCGACTTAGGATCATTCATCGGGATCTAAAATCAAGCAATATCTTATTGGACAGTGAAATGAACACGAAGATTTCAGATTTTGGCATGGCAAGGATTTTCAGAGTTGATCAAACACAAGCAAACACCAGTAAAATTGTTGGGACTTTGTAAGTAGTGTTATGCTTTGTTCTCTACTTTTTTATGCTTTTGTATGCTTAGATCGCTGATGTATTACGGTTTGCAGTGATTACATGTCACCAGAGTATGCAATGCATGGGCAATTCTCTGTGAAGTCTGATGTCTATAGTTTTGGCATCCTACTTCTAGAGCTCATTAGTAGCAAGAAGAATAGTTTCTCCTACCAAGCAAACGGCGGCGAAGATCTTGGTTTACTATGTGTTCAGGAAGATCCATTTGATAGACCGTCAATGGCAAACATAGTCCTGATGTTGAGCAGCAACTCTGTTACACTTACACTGCCCCAACAACCAGCCTTCTTCCTCCGGAGCAGGACTAAGAGGTCAATGAAAGAGCTCGAATTGAACCAATCCACCAATAGGTCTTTGGCATTGTCGACCAATGAGATATCGATCACCGAAGTTCACCCTCGGTGAACGGTGATGTGAGTGGAAGTCTTTCTTCATATAGTCTCGCAGAGAACTGGATCAAATGATCCTTGGCATTCCACTGAGATCAATGATGAACAATGAGCAAACACCTACGTCCAGGACAACTAAAAGTACAAAGTGTCTTGTTTTTTAGGCTAATCATGTTTTGATCCACTAGACATGGAAGGTTGTTGATATTAATATACATACATGGGATTTTATTGGATAGAGGAATACAAGTTCTTCCTTGTCTAAAGAAATAACTAATTGAAACTAGAGTTTCACTTAATTGACATGATTTTCTTATGGTACTTTCCATTATATCTGATAACATGTATCCATTCATACATAATTCGCACTGTTTTATTTAGTCATACTTACTAGAAATCGAGGTCATAAACCTTACCTCCAGATATATTCTTTGCATCACCTGCCTCATTGCTCGATTATAATGGTGGGGGTTGATTAAGATGGAAAGGCGAGCAACTTCACATGCATATTTCCTCAAATATCTACATAAGAATAATCTAACACCCCCACACCCCCCCCCCCCCCCCCTGTCCCTCTCTGTCGATCTCGATCTACTCACGGCCTCGTGTCCACAGATGTCTCTGTCCATCCGAGATATTAACCATGGCCTCCAAGGAGTGGAGCTAGTTGACAAGCTCCTCTATGGACAGGAAGTGCTCAAACATTCTAGTGTTGAGTAGCAAGGTGTGATGACGAGGGAGGGAGGGAGAGCGCAAGATATTGGGCCGATGACCGAACAAGTCTCAAATGAATGAACATGCGCTAATGTTTTCATAGCCCATGAAGGGTTGACGTACAAAGTAATGTATTAGTCCATGAACTCAGCTTATGAAAATGACGCCGGAGAAAGTGTAGAGAAGTAGGAGGCAACACGAGTGAGCACTAAAATGAATAAGTTGCTCGCCACTCATAGGTAATTAACCAAAGAGATAAGAGCAATACTTGCCACCCGTAGGAATCCACCTAAGGGATAAGAGTAAACAAGAAATCCTTTTTGTTCTCAAGTCAAAAGCTCAATTAAGTTTTGAATCAAACAAGTCTTGTTATGTTATTCATTATAGCACGCTTATATAGAGCATGGAACAACCCTCCAAGCTTGAGTAATTACTAAGACTCTTTGGAAAAACAAAAGTCTCCTAGGAAAGAAAAAATAACATTTACTAGAAAACAACCATAAATAAATAAGGACTCTAGAAACTCGAATGACATTAACTAGACCTAGAAAATATACGAGAATTAAATGTAACCGATTGAAGGTCTCTATGAATTTACCATTTCCAAGGTGGATAAATTAATGGCCTTTATGTTTTTGAAGGAACCTAACAGCCTTCGGTTCGTTGTGATCGATGAGTCGTCTTGGAAACGACAATATCGGCAAGAGTCAACTTGGAACCGATAATATCGGCAAGAGTCAAATTGGAATCGACAACTCACTGACAACTCGACATCGTCAAAGAATGCTCCGGCATCATATACTTCTGCTGCGCATAAACTTGCCCTTGAGTTGTCTTAGTCTTCATCACCATGGTAGGGAGAAAGATCCACAACATTGAATGTTGCAGAAACAACATACTCACTAGGAAGTTCAATCTTGTAGGCGTTGTCACCAATCCTTTGCAGCACCTTGAAAGGTCCATCAACCCTAGGCTTTAGTTTCCCATGATGAACCCGAGGAAATCTTTCCTTTCTAAGATGTAGCCAGACCAAATCCGCTTCCTTAAAAACTGCAGGCTTTCAATGCTTGTTTGCTCTCGCTTGATACTTCGCATTGTGCTTTATTATCGTTTCTCAAATTTGCTCATGATGTTTCTTTAGATAGTTGGCATGTTCCTCAGCATCTCCACTAAAATCATGAGAGATGGGAAGTGGAGCTAAGTCCATAGGACAAATAGGATTTTTTCCATACACAATCTCGAAAGGATTCTTCCCGATTGTTTGGCTTGAAAACCGGTTGCAAGCAAATTTAGCTTGACCCAAAGTAAGATCCCATTGACGTAGGTTACTCCCAATTAAGCTCCTTAAAAGATTTACCAAACTCCGATTAACAACTTGAGTTTGCCTATCGATTTGGGGATGATGAGAAGAGCTAAATTGAAATGTGGTGCCTAGCTTCTTCCAAAATGTTCGCCAAAAATGAATAATAAATTTTGAGTCCCGATCATATGTCATTGTCTTCGGAATACAATGTAGTTTCACGATCTCTTGAAAGTAAAGATTTGCCACATGAGTAGCATCCAAGGTCTTGTTACATGGTACAAAATGCGCCATTTTTTAGAATCGATCAATGACCACCATGATTGAGTCTTTACCCCTTTGTGTCCGAGGTAAACCAACCATAAAATCTAGGCTCACATCTTCCCAAGGGGCTATCGGTACCGGTAATGGAGTATACAAGCCAGTGTTTTGAGAATGGCTTGGCAATGTGACAAGTTCGACACCGTTCCACATGTCTCATAACATCTTTCTCCATTCGAGGCCAATAAAATTTTTCTTTGACAAGAGAGAGTGTCTTGTCTCTTCCAAAATGACCAGCTAAGCCTCCACCATTGCTTGTGCATACCGAGAAGTTCATTGATAATGGCTTCCCTTAGAGAACTTCTCGGTATGCACAAGCAATTATTTCTAAAAAGAAATTCATCTTGCAATAAAAATTGCTGAATTGGACCTTTCGAGCAATCTTTCCAAATCTTCCCAAAGTCAGGGTCTTCTTCATAAATCTCCTTGATCATGTCAAGGCCCAAGACCTTCAATTGCATTGTGGATAGCAAGGAGTGCCTACAGCTTAATGCATCCGCCACTCGATTGAGAGTTCCAACTTTACGTTTAATAAGAAAAGTGAAAGCTTGAAGAAACTCTACCCACTTTGCATGCCGATTGTTAAGCTTATGTTGAGTATTTACATACTTCAGGGTTTCATGATCTGAATAAAGAACAAATTCTTTAAACAATAGATAATGTTGCCAATGATCCAAAGCTCAAACAATAGCATAAAACTCCTTATCATAAGTAGAGTAATCCTTGCGGGAATTATTCAACTTTTCGCTAAAGAATGCAATAGGTTTTCTTTCTTGGCTAAGAACTGCACTGTCGCGACCGACTTCCAAATGTTTTTTTAACATAAAAGAAGGGCCTCGCCTGGTACGTGCTAAGTCTAAGTTCCGGACTTAACTCGGGTTTTCCCAAGCCCATACCATATCGCAGCTTAGGGTTTAGGTTTTTAACCTGCATGTGATTTTTATCTGGGAGTCGCCACTAATCAATTTGGGATAGGTTGATTAGAAACCTAAGTAAAGTGACGGCAGAACCACCCTACTCCTATGAATCAAAGATTAAATAAGTTCAGGGACATGGTTACACTAGTTGGATAACTAATGCCCTTTCGGTACCTTTTTACCTTGTTCATTTTGAAAATATTTGTCATGCAATTTGAATTGATTTTAGGACATTTCTCCTAACATGTGAGGTGATCAAGCAATTGCACAATCATTAACGATTAGCAGTCAAGAAAAATATGCAGCCTAAGGTTCTAGCCCTAACTAAGGCGGAGCATTCAAAACACGACAATTTATGCAATTAATTGTAATTAAAAAACATGCATAATAATAATACAACAATAATTTAAAACATTCAAATATATCACATAATTTTAAAAAATATCATATAATACTATGTCTAAATTATATCCTAATTTTAAAAGAAAATAAAAAAAAATTCGAAATTTTTTTTAAAAGAAATATATATTTTTTATAAAATAATAATATAATATTAAACCCGGGTCGGGTCGGCGAATCTGAGTCGATCGGATCCGACCCGAGTCAACGGATCCGACCCAGGGCGTTGACCCGAGTCGAGTCGACTCCCGCGTGCATAGGCACGCGGGGACACTGGCTAAGCCAAAATTTGGCCTTTCGCCGGCCGACCCAGACCGGCACCAACCGAAATCTTCCCCCTGATGACCATAACCGAGCTTCCTCACCCACCTAGCTCGTCATCCGGCCACTCACTCGCCGGCTGGCGACCTAAATAAACTCGGCCTCATTGAGGCATTCCATCGAACACCTGGAGTGCGTGACTAAAACAGAGGCGTTTCGATCTATTCCGAGGCCCCGCCGTCCTCTGGTGGCCTGTCCTTACCTTCGGCGACAACGTGTGAACGGTGGGGGACGACGGTATGGTATGAGATTCGCGCAAAATGGCCGGCGCGAGTCCCGACCAAACCATACACCAAAAACCGGGCAAAACAGAGGCGGTCGGGACCCGGGGAGGCTTACCGGTCGACGGCACATCTGGGTGGCTTTTTGGCTGCTCCGCGGGCGACGGCGAAGCTTCTAGCGGCCCTTGGTGACCTGTAAACACTCTGGACTCACTCTTTCTCTCTCTTTTCTCTCTTTTCTCTCTCTGTTTCTCCTTTGCTCTCTCTCTCTGTTTTTTTTTTCAAAGAGGCTGACCCACGCTCTCTCTCTCTCTCCAGCTTATATAGCCGACGACTGGCGTGCCCCCTGCTCACGTATGCCTGCTGACGATGGCCTGCACCGGCCTACTCTGTCCTGCGACTTTCGTGGCCGTTTAGGCCGGTGCAGGGGGAGTCATTCTGACGCCATGAAGAAGAGAGGAAGAAGGGAGAGAGGAGGCCGGGAATTCGGGGTGGACAGGATTGACAATTAATGCCAATCCCGTTGGCGTGCTCCTTTAGCCTTCCTCTGGCCTGATAGGGACGGCGAGGGCTGCTCCGTCGTCGGTTGGTCCCGATGGTTGGATGCAGGGGAGAACAGGACAAGTGGGAGGAGAGGGCCGGCGGGAGAAGAAGAAGAATGAAGGAAGGAAGCCGGGCTGGGCCCGGCCCAGCCTACGCGAGGGAGAAAAGAAAGAAAAAAAAGGAAGTGGGCTGGGCTGCGCAGGGGAAAAGGAAAAAGAAAAGGGCCGGGTCGACCTGGCCCCGACCCGGCCCAACTCGGATTTTTTGATTGATTTTTTTT